GTGTGTGTGTGTGTGTGTGTGTGTGTGTGTGAAGCCACTTCGAAAAGTCAGCCTTGAAACCTCCCCTCCCCCTCCCCCTGGGCATGGCTCAAATTAGCCAGGTAGCCGGAACACCTGAACGAAGAAGGCCTGTGAATAGATTTCTGAGGGAATGGATGTAGATCTGAGGGAAAGGGTGCATTTGCGTGGAGGGGGGGGAGTTGTCTGAAGGGTTGTATATAGGATAAGGATTAAAAACAGGAGGATTTCATGATTTAAACGATTTAAATAGAAGGAAGGTGTGTTGGATATGTTCACTGCCTCGAGTTGTTTGTAAAAAAAAATGGCGGGAAATAAGTAAATACACAAATAATGAAATATATAAACAAACACATAAATAAATAATGTAAATAAGTATTGTGTCTACTTTTGGAAAGAGCAGACAAGGACCCTGATTTCTTTCCCTCCTACGAACAGATAGTGCTTTCTCTCCGTTGCTTCCTCAAAGGTGGGATGCTTGCACTAACTGAAATAGAAGATTGAACCATGTGCTGAAGACCTTGTCAGTTTTAAATAGTTGGGCCATGTCTATTTGCATTGGCTTTTGTTCGTCAGATTCATTTTCGGTGCTTTGACAGCTGCCTTTCCCCCTGCCTTAATTTACTCCAAGTAACTCTGCCCCCCCCCCCCAAAAAAAAAGTCTGTGTTACATTTAAAACGTTAGCGGAAGCATTTTTTAAGAAACCTGTAATTGAAAAATCTCAAAGGAAATGGATAAAACACAAAAGAGCAACAGTTAATCACGCTAATGAATGCACATCTGAAGCAGGAAAAAAGCTGATTGCCGAGTTTAACACTGCTATTTTTATTCTATATCCATGCATTTAAGTTGACTTTGTTTTGTATCGGCTCCAGGTTTTTTTTGGAAGCCAGCTAGAAATTTGATGAGTCAGGAGAATAAACTGTTTCCACAAATACTTAGGACCCAGGCAGACATATTTCCCTGCTGACCTGATGTTGTGTTCCTGACTGGGTCTTCCCAATATGTGCTTTGTGACAGGTTTAGAAACGGCGAAATCTTTTGCCCTCCATGGTGCCCATGTCATTCTAGCCTGCCGAAACACCTCAAGAGCGGATGAGGCCGTGCGCCAGATCTTGAAAGAATGGGTAAGGATCTTTGCTTTATGAATATCTAAATTTGTGCTTTAAAGCTTACAAGTGCTCAGAGATTTCTACCTCAAACTCCTAAGCTCCGCACATGGTGCATAATGTGGAAAAAGATGCCGCTTAAAAATGAGAAATTAAAATGACATTAATAAAATGTAGAGATGTCAGCTGAGCAAATCAGGTAATTATGAGTCACTCAGAGTGAGATG